TTATTATTATTATTATTATTATTATTATTATTATTATTATTATTATTATTATTATTATTATTATTATTATTATTATTATTATTATTATTATTATTATTATTATTATTATTATTATTATTATTATTATTATTATTATTATTATTATTATTATTATTATTATTATTATTATTATTATTATTATTATTATTATTATTATTATTATTATTATTATTATTATTATTATTATTATTATTATTATTATTATTATTATTATTATTATTATTATTATTATTATTATTATTATTATTATTATTATTTATTATTATTATTATTATTATTATTATTATTATTATTATTATTATTATTATTATTATTATTATTATTATTATTATTATTATTATTATTATTATTATTATTATTATTATTATTATTATTATTATTATTATTATTATTATTATTATTATTATTATTATTATTATTATTATTATTATTATTATTATTATTATTATTATTATTATTATTATTATTATTATTATTATTATTATTATTATTATTATTATTATTATTATTATTATTTATTATTATTATTATTATTATTATTATTATTATTATTATTATTATTATTATTATTATTATTATTATTATTATTATTATTATTATTATTATTATTATTATTATTATTATTATTATTATTATTATTATTATTATTATTATTATTATTATTATTATTATTATTATTATTATTATTATTATTATTATTATTATTATTATTATTATTATTATTATTATTATTATTATTATTATTATTATTATTATTATTATTATTATTATTATTATTATTATTATTATTATTAATTATTATTATTATTATTATTATTATTATTATTATTATTATTATTATTATTATTATTATTATTATTATTATTATTATTATTATTATTATTATTATTATTATTATTATTATTTATTATTATTATTATTATTATTATTATTATTATTATTATTATTATTATTATTATTATTATTATTATTATTATTATTATTATTATTATTATTATTATTATTATTATTATTATTATTATTATTATTATTATTATTATTATTATTATTATTATTATTATTATTATTATTATTATTATTATTATTATTATTATTATTATTATTATTATTATTATTATTATTATTATTATTATTATTATTATTATTATTATTATTATTATTATTATTATTATTATTATTATTATTATTATTATTATTATTATTATTATTATTATTATTATTATTATTATTATTATTATTATTATTATTATTATTATTATTATTATTATTATTATTATTATTATTATTATTATTATTATTATTATTATTATTATTATTTATTATTATTATTATTATTATTATTATTATTATTATTATTATTATTATTTATTATTATTATTATTATTATTATTATTATTATTATTATTATTATTTATTATTATTATTATTATTATTATTATTATTTATTATTATTATTATTATTATTATTATTATTATTATTATTATTATTATTATTATTATTATTATTATTATTATTATTATTATTATTATATTATTATTATTATTATTATTATTATTATTATTATTATTATTATTATTATTATTATTATTATTATTATTATTATTATTATTATTATTATTATTATTATTATTATTATTATTATTATTATTATTATTATTATTATTATTATTATTATTATTATTATTATTATTATTATTATTATTATTATTATTATTATTATTATATTATTATTATTATTATTATTATTATTATTATTATTATTTATTATTATTATTATTATTATTATTATTATTATTATTATTATTATTATTATTATTATTATTATTATTATTATTATTATTATTATTATTATTATTATTATTATTATTATTATTATTATTATTATATTATTATTATTATTATTATTATTATTATTATTATTATTATTATTATTATTATTATTATTATTATTATTAATATTATTATTATTATTATTATTATTATTATTATTATTATTATTATTATTATTATTATTATTATTATTATTATTATTATTATTATTATTATTATTATTATTATTATTATTATTATTATATTATTATTATTATTATTATTATTATTATTATTATTATTATTATTATTATTATTATTATTATTATTATTATTATTATTATTATTATTATTATTATTATTATTATTATTATTATTATTATTATTATTATTATTATTATTATTATTATTATTATTATTATTATTATTATATTATTATTATTATTATTATTATTATTATTATTATTATTATTTATTATTATTATTATTATTATTATTATTATTATTATTATTATTATTATTATTATTATTATTATTATTATTATTATTATTATTATTATTATTATTATTATTATTATTATTATTATTATTATTATTATTATTATTATTATTATTATTATTATTATTATTATTATTATTATTATTATTATTATTATTATTATTATTATTATTTATTATTATTATTATTATTATTATTATTATTATTATTATTATTATTATTATTATTATTATTATTATTATTATATTATTATATTATTAATTATTATTATTATTATTATTATTATTATTATTATATTATTATTATTATTATTATTATTATTATTATTATTATTATTATTATTATTATTATTATTATTATTATTATTATTATTATTATTATTATTATTATTATTATTATTATTATTATTATTATTATTATTATTATTATTATTATTATTATTATTATTATTTATTATTATTATTATTATTATTTATTATTATTATTATTATTATTATTATTATTAATTATTATTATTATTATTATTATTATTATTATTATTATTATTATTATTATTATTATTATTATTATTATTATTATTATTATTATTATTATTATTATTATTATTATTATTATTATTATTATTATTATTATTATTATTATTATTATTATTATTATTATTATTATTATTATTATTATTATTATTATTATTATTATTATTATTATTATTATTATTATTATTATTATTATTATTATTATTATTATTATTATTATTATTTATTATTATTATTATTATTATTATTATTATTATTATTATTATTATTATTATTATTATTATTATTATTATTATTATTATTATTATTATTATTATTATTATTATTATTATTATTATTATTATTATATTATTATTATTATTATTATTATTATTATTATTATTATTATTATTATTATTATTATTATTATTATATTATTATTATATTATTATTATTTATTATTATTATTATATTATTATTATTATTATTATTATTATTATTATTATTATTATTATTATTATTATTATTATTATTATTATTATTATTATTATTATTATTATTATTATTATTATTATTATTATTATTATTATTATTATTATTATTATTATTATTATTATTATTATTATTATTATTATTATTATTATTATTATTATTATTATTATTTATTATTATTATTATTATTATTATTATTATTATTATTATTATTATTATTATTATTATTATTATTATTATTATTATTATTATTATTATTATTATTATTATTATTATTATTATTATTATTATTATTATTATTTATTATTATTATTATTATTATTATTATTATTATTATTATTATTTATTATTTATTATTATTATTATTATTATTATTATTATTATTATTATTATTATTATTATTATTATTATTATTATTATTATTATTATTATTATTATTATTATTATTATTATTATTATTATTATTATTTATTATTATTATTATTATTATTATTATTATTATTATTATTATTATTATTATTATTATTATTATTATTATTATTATTTATTATTATTATTATTATTATTATTATTATTATTATTATTATTATTATTATTATTATTATTATTATTATTATTATTATTATTATTATTATTATTATTATTATTATTATTATTATTATTATTATTATTATTATTATTATTATTATTATTATTATTATTATTATTATTATTATTATTATTATTATTATTATTATTATTAATTATTATTATTATTATTATTATTATTATTATTATTATTATTATTATTATTATTATTATTATTATTATTATTATTATTATTATTATTATTATTATTATTATTATTATTATTATTATTATTATTATTATTATTATTATTATTATTATTATTATTATTATTATTATTATTATTAATTATTATTATTATTATTATTATTATTAATTATTATTATTATATTATTATTATTATTATTATTATTATTAATTATTATTATTATTATTATTAATTATTATTATTATTATTATTATTTTATTATTATTATTATTATTATTATTATTATTATTATTATTATTATTATTATTATTATTATTATTATTATTATTATTATTATTATTATTATTATTATTATTATTATTATTATTATTATTATTATTATTATTATTATTATTATTATTATTATTATTATTATTATTATTATTATTATTATTATTATTATTATTATTATTATTATTATTATTATTATTATTATTATTATTATTATTATTATTATTATTATTATTATTATTATTATTATTGTTAGCAAAGACAAAAACCATTTTTATATCCATTTTTATATCAATTTACATCGATATATTAATCAAATTCTAACAAAATTCCAAATAACTACCAGTATTTTTGCTGTTTTTTTGCTGTGTGGTCCCAATTTCATTCCACCACGGTAGCAGTCTTAAGAAAACTTAGTTTAAAATTAAATTAAAGTTTGTCATCGATTTTAATAATTAACAATGGCTGATAATTCATTAAATGTAGAAGAAATTAGTAAAATTTGCATTAGATGTAGTAAGTCAGTTGGTACAGGATTAAGATGTGTGAGATGTGGCACTCTGTCGCACAAAAGCTGTTTAAAATATATAAAAGCCCAATTAATTGATGATTACACTTGCATTTGCTGTCCTGACGTTACACTAGGAGCAGTAGGCAATAGTCAAATGCAAACTAATATTACCACGGATGACAAGGCTCAAGATGGTCGCGATATTAATATTGAAAATAAAATATTAATGGAAAGGATGATTTATTTAGAAAAGATCATTAAAGAAAAGAATGACACAATTAAATTTCAAAACATCTCCATTGAGTCATTGCAAGAGCAAATATCACTCATGAAGAGGGTTAACGAAATTTTCAACACCAAGGCACCATTGGAAACCTCGGTAATCAGCCAACAGACAGCAGAAATCTCTGGACCCACTAAGAAGAGCGAGGAAACATATTCACGAGACCTCCCGCCACAAGCCACCGTTAACTTGATCAAGCCTCAAGAAATCAGAGCTGCTATACATAACGCACAGGCTTCACGAATTTGCGAAGATATTGTAAACTCCGACAACAACATGACATCCTCACAAACATCCAGGAGAAACGTAAAACCTAGGAATATCTTAGTTGGAGATGGTGGAAATAGACAAAAGCCTAAGAACTTGCTAATAGGTACAATGTGCAACGAAAACGCAAACCTACAGGCAGCAAAGTTGGAGGTACTAAATCATTATCATTCTACAAATTGGAATCCAGATACTACTGTAGATGAAGTGAAAAAACATTTTATAAACATCGAGCCACATATTGAAGTTAAGCAACTGAATTCAAGATTTCCACAAAAATATGCATCTTTTAAGATATCAATACCAGCCACTAGTGTAGATAAGGTACTATGCGCAGAAATCTGGCCAAAGAACATTTATTTAAATGAGTTTTTTCGTTGGAGATAATATAAATACTTCTTCTGATATACAAAATAATTTTAATTGTTCTACACTCACATTGCTACATATTAATACTCAGAGTCTAAGTAACAAAATAGATAGTATACATATTCTTGCTGACTCAAATCCAATTGATATATTATGTCTCTCAGAACATTGGTTAACGGAAGAAAATCTAAAAATAGTTAACATAAAAAATTACAACTTAATATCAAATTACTCGAGGAGAACTTCTTCTCAACACGGAGGTGTTGCAATTCTTTCTAAATCTAAACTAAATTTAAAACCAGTCGATTTATCTATGTTCAGTATATCCACTCACTCAGAATTTTGTGGAGCCGAAATTAACAAAAAATGTGTTTTAGTCGTTATTTACCGATCATCTTCATTCGGTGACATAAACATATTTATAGAACAATTTACTAATTTAATAGATTTTTTATACAAGAAATATAAATTTATTGTTTTAATTGGTGACTTAAACATTGATCTTAATAGCAGCAATGTGAATTCAACTAATCTTAGAAATTTTATAAATATGTATGGTCTAATGCATCTTATACGAGTTCCCACTAGGATTACACCAACATCTAGAACATGCTTAGACAATATTATTACTAATATTAATATGGATGATCTAGAAGCAGATGTTATAGATACTGAAATTGCTGATCACCAAGCACTGCTTCTTAAAATTAAAAGTATTACACAACCTAAGGATCCCATTCAGAAAAAAAGAGTTATTACTGATGCTAGAATTAAAAAATTTACAGATAACCTAAACAAAACTCAATGGCATCCCGATAATTTAGAATCTCTCAATGTAGATCAGATGGCTGAAGTCTTACTCGAAGGGCTTCACAAAAATGTTATCAATTGTTTTCCCATAAAATCGGTTAAATCGAAAAAAAGTTGTGTTGCTTGGTTTAATCAGCAATTAAAAGATATGAGAAAACAAGTTTATATCAGTAAACAGCATTTTAAGGCTAGTAATTTATTTACAGATTGGTATAGGTACACAGAACTGAAAAAGATATATAAAAAAGCTATAAAAGATACTAAACGCAATGCGTATAGTATGAAAATAGAAACATCTAACAACAAAAATAAAACAGTATGGCAACTAGTTAATTCAGAGAAAAAAACTAAGAATAATAAAACAGCGGTTTCAACTTCAATAACTGCAAATAACTTTAATATTTTTTTCAGTTCCGTTGCTGATATTATTGCTAATGATATTGTTAATCCTAACGTCGATGCTATGTATTATATTAACAAGTTAAAAAAGACATCAACTTCATTCTTTATGTCGCCAATCACGGAATCCGACGTTAGTGAAACTATACTAGGGCTGAAAAATTCAGGTTGTATTGATTACTACGGACTTAATAGTAAAATGCTAAAATATTCCGTTACTACACTAAAGCAACCACTCACTATTCTTTTTAATAGTTGTATTTTAGAGGGCCAATGGCCGGATTCTCTTAAAATCACAAAAATTCTTCCTACTCACAAAAAAGGCGATATAGAACAATTAGATAATTATAGACCAATTGCTATTGTTCCTATTATAGCCAAAGTATTTGAGTTAATAATAAAAGATAAGCTTGTTAGTTACTGTGAGAGTAAACTCTTGATAACTCCAGCACAATTTGGATTTAGAAAGAATTACTCAACTTTTAAGGCAATACGTGCAATAGTTGATTATATAGTCGAGGGACTTGATGAGAGACAAGATACTGTTGTTAGTATGTGTGATCTCACCAAGGCTTTCGATTGCGTAAACAAAACAATATTACTACAAAAAATGGAATATTATGGCATTCGAAATAAAGAATTAGCACTCTTCAATTCATATCTTACAAATAGGAAGCAGTTTGTAAGCTGTAATGGCATAGAGTCAAACTTAATATCCATGACACACGGTGTGCCACAGGGCTCAGTCCTGGGTCCCGTCCTCTTTCTACTTTACATCAATGACTTACCACTAAACTGCGATACGGCAAAATGCTTCCTGTTTGCTGATGATACAGCAATTGCTACCAGAGGCAATATGCAACTGAACACAGAGAGTCTTGCCAGAGCAGAAACTTGGTTCTCAGCTAACAAACTTAAAATGAATCCTACAAAAACACAGGTAAATTTATTTAGCTCCAGCAAATTGAAAGAAAAATCGGTTCCGGTTAAGTACTTGGGTATAACGCTGGACACATATCTTAACTGGGCAGCTCATATAGATTCTCTTTGTTCAAAGTTGGCCTCTCAAATATTTGCTCTGCGACAGCTGCGACATTGTTTAAATAATGATTGTATCAGAACAGTTTATTTTGCTATTATACATAGCCACTTGGCGTACGGTATCATACTGTGGGGCAATAGCACTAACGCGGATAAGGTTTTTCGTATGCAGAAAACTGCTTTAAGAATTATTGATGGAGCTAAACATGATGCACATTGTAGAGAGCTGTTCAAAAAATACAATATTCTTACTCTACCATGCTTATATATTTTGGAAACAATTACCTTAATTCATAAAAATCTGACCTTATACCGGACACATGCTAATGTTCACATGTATGATACTCGGAATGCTAAGAATATTGTACCAACATTCTCTCGTCTTGAGATTTCTAAAAATAATAAATTAGATGTTGAATTGTATAATAAATTTGATAGATTTAATAAAACAAAAAATATTAATAACTTATCTGTAAATGGATTTAGGAATGTAGCTAAAACATTTCTTAATACTCATTGTTTCTATTCTGTAAATGAATACAATTGTTTTTTGTCTTAGTAAATATTATGTAATCAACCTCAAATGTACATATGTATGTAAAGTGGTTAATAAATGGTATGGTATGGTATTATTATTATTATTATTATTATTATTATTATTATTATTATTATTATTATTATTATTATTATTATTATTATTATTATTATTATTATTATTATTATTATTATTATTATTATTATTATTATTATTATTATTATTATTATTATTATTATTATTATTATTATTATTATTATTATTATTATTATTATTATTATTATTATTATTATTATTATTATTATTATTATTATTATTATTATTATTATTATTATTATTATTATTATTATTATTATTATTATTATTATTATTATTATTATTAGTTTTTCCAATGATTATTTATGCTCAGTATTACATATCAATGTTCGAAGTTTATTGAATAAAGTGGATGAATTACATTTAATTTTAGAAAATTATAAAACAGATATTTTGTGTATATCGGAGCATTGGCTTTCATCTGAGGATTTGAGTAATATTAAAATTGACAATTTTAAAATAATGTCAGCATTTTGCCGTGACAAGGGTGAACATGGGGGTGTAGCAATTTTTTCTAATAATCAAATTGAGTTGAAAAGCGTAGATTGTTCCGAATTTTGTATACCCCGTCATGCTGAGTTTTGTTGTGTTGAATTATTAAATAAAAAGTCCTTAATAATAACAACTTATAGGTCATCATCAAGTGGCAACATTCAGATTTTTTTGGAGCAAATTCATAATTTGATATATAGTTTTTCAAAAAAATATAGGTATATCAGTATACTTGGGGACTTAAATCTTGACATTGATGGTAATACCGAATATGCTAAGAGTTTTAAGAATATTTTAGGTATGTACGGCTTGAAGCATTATATTCATGAACCTACTAGGATCACACCCACTTCCAGATCGTGCCTAGACAACGTAATAACGAATATAAATCATGACCAACTATTTACTGGAGTTTTTGATACTGATTTAGCAGATCATTCTGCTGTCTACTTAAAAATTAAAAATATTACAAAGGTGCAAACCGACACGTTGTTAAAAAAAAGAATAATTAATAAAAATAGATTGGAATTATTTGCTAGTAATTTAAATGAAATAAGTTGGCATGATTTGAAATTGGATGATCTTAATTCTAATGAAATTACTAAAAAAATATTAGAAATTTTTGCACTGAATTTGGACTTGTGTTTTCCACTGAAAATTTGCAAAAAAACTTACAAGAAATGTGAGTGGTTTAATAATGATCTTCGAGAAATGCGAAAAAAAAGTTTTTAGTGATAAAACTAAATTTAAAAAAACAAATTTAATGTTCGATTGGAATAACTATCGAGAATCTCGTAAAAACTATAAACGAGCCATCAAAAATGAAAAGCGTTTGTATTATGCTGAAAAAATAGTAAATTCGGATAATAAAAGCAAAACCATCTGGACCATAGTAAATTCTGAAAGGAAGGTTAACTGCAATGAAACTGTATCGTCCAACTTAACATCAGAAGATCTTAATTTATTCTTTGTTACTATTGCAGACAAGATTTCACAAACTATAGAACATAATTTAGTACATCCTCTTCAGTTACTCAAAAACGTTCCGGTACAACCTAGTTCCTTTTTTATGAGCCCTATCATAGAATCAGACATAAAACAGGCAATTTTGAACCTTAAAAATTCTACGTGTCTGGATTTTTTTGGAATGAATAGTTGTATGATAAAGGTCGCGTTGGAGTCACTTATTAAACCATTACACATTCTTTACAATAAATGTATTCTAGAAGGATACTGGCCTGATCCACTAAAAATAACTAAAATTATACCTATTTTTAAAAAAGGGGATATAAATAGTGCAGACAATTACAGACCGATTGCAATTGTACCTATAATAGGAAAAATTTTCGAGATTTTAATAAAAGAAAAACTTACCTCTTACCTTGATTGTAAAAAATTGTTATCTCCTTCCCAGTACGGCTTTAGAAAACACAAGTCCACAGTAAATGCATTGGTTAAAGTTATCGAATGTGTAGTCGAAGGTCTTGATGAGGGTAACGAAACACATGCAACGATGTGCGACCTCACCAAGGCATTTGATTGTGTTAATATTGATTATCTCCTGGATAAAATGGAATATTAT